GCTCTGAGCAAGCTGGGATAGTGGAAGATGTCCCTGCCTGTGGCAGGGGTTTAAAATCTTTAAGGTGCTTTCCAACACAAACAATTCTATGATTCTATAGGGAAAAAGCTCAGCACTCATTTATTGCTCAAGTAATGAACTACCAAAGGCCACAGGAATCCTCTTGTGGCAAATAAGGAGACTCAGAAAAATACTTGTTTAATAGAAGTGGATGATATAGATGATATATCCATTGTGAACTAGAGGCCAATTACTATAGGAAGAGGTTCCTCAAACAGGTGGTTGAAAGAAAGTGACTGGTTCAACTACTTAAGTGCAGCACAAAAAAAATGCAGAAAGTAAAAACACCACTTAGAAAGACAGAAAACCATGCTGAGTCATGAGGACTATTTTTTCCTAATATCCAACCTAAACCTGCTGTCAGTGTGAAGCCATTACCTCTTGTCCTGTCACTCCAGGTCCTTGTCAAGAGTCTCCCTCCATCTTTCCTGAGGGTTCCCTTCAGGCACTGGAAGGCCACAATGAGGTCACCCCAAAGCCATCCCCTCTCCAGGCTGAACAATCCCAATTTCCTCAGCCTTTCCTCCCAGCAGAGCTGCTCCAGCCCTTTAATGAATTCATGTCCCTGGCTCTGGACTGGCTCCCCAGAACCCACTGAGGCTCCACTCCCCTACCTTTGACGCACTTGAACACGAGCTCTGCCCTCTTCAGGCACCATGGAATGGTCATCTCCTAAATGAAGAAATAAAAAGCCTCAATGCCCCACAAATCTAACCAGCAAGAATAGGGGAATTATTAAAAGCAATACATTTTTTGCCCTAGAACATAATTTTCAAGCAGCATTTGGGACGTAGTTTTTAGAACATTCTAGGCAGGAGTACATACCTTACAGGTGACCATAAAAGCACCACCACTCCTTATTGCTAGGAGAGCCAGTGTCAGAATAATATTAAACATTTTTTAACTGAGGTGTTGAATAAAAATGCTGTCAAACCCACTGGAAACTGGGCTGTTTGATTCTCCTGTGGAGCTCCAAAAAAAAGTCTAATATTCAATTGATAATTGTCAGGTTCATGCTTCAGCAAATCAAAGGCAGGCTCCTGACCAAATCTTGAAAGCACAATGATGACTTCTAACTGTTCTTGGTTCTGTTTAGTATTTCTTGGCATACCCACAACCTTCAGTAAAACCCTCCCTCTAATACTGGAATGGGAAGAAGCTCTTCCTCCTCAAGATGCATTTAGGGGAAGAGTGAGAACAAGCAAATCACCTGCATCTGATGAAGGAGTTTCAGATAGCAACAGCCAGCAAATCCTTACCTAAACTTAAATAGCAAAACATGACATGAAAACCACAGTGGTTTAAAAGCACTGGGCTAAATAATTTGAGAATAAAGTTCATTAAATATTCTTTGGTTGTATGCTAGAAAGCCAATTACACCATGATGATGGAATTCCATCAGAGACAGAATGACTAACTGCAAACACTTCTCAGGAAGAAGAAAACAGTATCTGTTTCTGCGGTAATCTTCAACATGAAGATGAGCACTTCCTACTCTGAATACAGGAATATAGATGTGGAAACTAATCTATCATTCCAAGTACGTTTTCAAACTTAAGCTTTACATATTTTTCTATTCAATAAAGCCAGTTCTATTTCGAAATGTCAAACACACAGTGCAATCTGTTGTTATCAGAAAGATTAATTTCAGGATTAAAGTTATTTGAGAGGCAAGGTAATCTAAGAATGCTCAGTGATAACACAACTGAAACTGGATGTGTGACTTCATTAAACAACTACTGAAAGCCAAAGTTCCTCTTCAGGTGGGAGGATCTCCTGCAATCCCCCAAAATACACTCTACGTTAAAAACTGAGTAAATTTGAAATATCTTTTCATAAAGCCTTCATTATACAAATCACTGCATCCCTACATGTTGCTTTTAAAGTATACAGCACATTAATCAGACAGAATAGTGCTGGACAAGTTTGGGTTTATACTTTTGTTGTGGTTGCCTTTTGACTTTTTAAATTTTTAAGCATTCTGGAAGCAACACTTGGTGTTTATTATAACTCATCTGCCCATGACTGCTTTCTGTCACAAGTAAGGTTTACACCTGGTTTTGATCACTGTTTTGGCTTAGTAAAAACAAGTCACTAAGAAGAACATTCTCTCACAGGAGCACCTGAGCAATCAGTGATGGGAACTAAACCTTAAAAAGACTGATCAACACAGCAGGATATGACACCATTCCTTGGACTATTTTAGAGGAACAGAGAGACTAAATTTTGTGGGCACTCAGAGAAATAACAATGTTGCTCCATGTAAGCCACAAGAACTGAAAATGACATAGCAGTGATTCAATTCTAATCTATCTTCACACACCAAAGTTCTCATGAATTCACCACACCACCAGGAGTTTTCTCTGGTGTGGAAATGGAGGATCAGCTAAGCAACAATGCAAAGTACAGAGAAGGACATAAGAAAGCAAAAAAGCAAACAGCCAACCTCTTAGAGGGAGTTTTGAATAATAGCATTCAAGAAAGTTAAAAAAAAACCCACCTGGAACTTCGGGTGTTTTTCACTAGCAGAGACACATCAACATTTTTTCAGATGCAATCATTCTGTCAAATTAAGATTTCTTTGACTCATTTAGAAAAAAAAGGAGGGGAGGAGAGACCAGCTTCACTGGTCTTTCACATATTTTTCACAGTGAGAAAGATATGCTGCAATCCTTTTGATTTTATTTTCATTTCATTTATGACAGGCTTACTACATGGGGCTGCTTAGGGCTTGGGCCTTTGCAGAACCATGTCATAATCAAGTAAGTAAAACAGTAAAGTCCACATACATCATGTGGAAAAATATTTCAAACTAAACTTCAATGGGTAATTTCAGTAAGAATTAGCAAGGTGTTTAACTCACAGTGCATCTGTGTAAATCCTAAACACTGGATGAGCAGATATAAATTTAAAAGGCATGAATCTCAGCTGAGAAACATTTGAGGTCAACACATCCATCAGTAACCTCTCTATGGACATAAACTACGTTCATAAATATTTGTTACACAGCTTATACTCCTTTCATTTCTTTTTTTAAAAAACAATTTTGTCTTAAATTATGGTAATAGAGACAACTAGACTGAGATCACTGAAGAGTCACATTTTTGTCACTGTTGCTGTGTGGACAACAGCAATGTTGAAACTACCAAGGGAGGGTGCCAGCTCTGGCATTTTTAGCAATGCCTTGCTGTTAGAGCCATTTAATTCCCCAGTTTATAGCAGATTCCAGTGATCAGTAACACCTCACTTGGCCTGAAATCAAACTTGCCTGCTTTTGCCTTTGTGAGGTATCAAATCAAATTTCTTTCCTTCATTTAATTTAATGATCAGACCAGAGAGATCTGTTTTGGTTGTTCTTGCCATAAGAAAAACAAAGGAAAACAGAATTCTTGATTTTTTAAAATAGAAATAACAATGAAATCTAACAGCCTCATTGAGATCAAGACAGTCAAACTGACAGAGAGCAGGTTTAGATTGGAGGGTGGTGAGGCCCTGGCACAGACTGCCCAGAGAAGCTGTGGCTGCTCCATGCTTGGAGGTATTTCAGGAAAGTTTGGATGGGGTTTGGAGCAACCTGGGAGAGTGGAAGGTGTCCATACCCATGGCAGGTGATGGGACAGGATGAGATTAACGTCTCTTCCAACCCAAAGCCGTCTGTGATACTGTAATTACTTTTGTGAGGATATAAACACCACTCTTACATCTACATTAGGAGAAAATATTTGGAAAAAGCACAGAGAACCCTGCTAATGAATGCCTGTCCCAGGGAAGCATGGAAACATCTCTGCAGCTGGGCTCCTGGTTAACCACCCCACAAAAACGTTCTTCTGTAGGTGGTAAATGCAGAGTCAGAACTGCGGCTGCCAAAGGCACCAGGTTCAGGGTAACTTTCAGAAATCTGTCATTACTCACTTTTCCCTCAACAAGGAGTTACAGATTTGTGTGTTTCAAATCAGGTCAGCCAGCTGCCAAGCACTGTAATAAGCAAGCTGCTAATGCAAGTCATACAAAGCAGCTGTGCCTTAAGACACACTTACCATCCAGCTCACTTTCTGCTTACTCTGCAAAGACTTACAGCTTAATTGTAAATTGTTTCACCAGGATCTTTTAAGAATCCAGCACTAGACAAGAAGATAATTCTTCAGTTTCACACATCTCAAGGCATGTTGAACACTTGGTCAGGTGCTTTAGTTGTAGTTTAAAATACAGATATGTAAAGCTAGAACTAACCAGGTTTAAAGGAAACAAAACCCAGAAGAATATAATCAGGTGGCACCTTGATAAAAAAAGGTCAATATATTTAATAAATTTCTGAAACACAGCAGCTGGGTCCCAATGAGTGACCCAGGCTGCTGTCCTGCATGTTGATTACTTGCATTTGTGCCCAAAGAAAGATCTCAGTACAACAGATGAAAAATTTCATTAAAAAATCTCATCTGTTCCTAAAAGTCTACTTTTATGTACGGAAATACATCCTTTAGAAGCTTCATTATTGTGTCTTTTTACCTTTTTCATTGCTTGCTTTTCATGGTAATAGACCCTGATCCTGCAAAAAAGGGTGACTTCTACTCTGTGTTCCAGTAAATTCTATTATAAAATGTGTCACTGTTAAAGGTAATCCACTGGTGAGCATTTATCTTGCTGTGAGTTAGCCACTTTCCACAAAGGAAAGGCAATATTGAATCTAAAAGTGAAAAATCAAAGCGTTAATTTAAAAAAGAAACCTCTCCAACAGACTGTAATTATTACTGATATCCTTACATGGATGACAGAATTATCTTCCTTTTCTCATTTCTTTAGGTTTACAGACTTTCCAGCTCTTCAGGATATAAGGCATATGGCTGTACTCCCTGCTTTCCCACCCCTTTTCTTCTCTGTGAGCCAGTTGTGACAGAGACAAAGAGGCTGCCAATAGTTTTAAATTGCTGTGCACTGAGAAATGTTACAGCTGATTGCGAGACAAGGCCTACATCAGAGTGCCACTACAGAAGAAAATACAAAACTCAGCACAGTTAAGTAAGAACACCAAGAGCATCAGCAATATGCTGCCTCTTACCCAGACAGTATTTGAGGGGACTTAAAGAGGAAACAAGGACAGAAATTAGGCAGTGAAGGAAGAGACAGTTCAAAGTGAAGGTGAAATTTGGTTGCTCTTGTGTAGGGCTGAGGTGGTAGAAGATTTACAGAAGGCCAAGGTAGTGTTTAGATCTACAGAACTCTAAGTCAAGCTTTGCCAGTTCTGCTGCTCCCAAAATTTAGTTTTAATGTTTACAGCTAATGATAATAAAAAGAGGGAATCTGGTATCACTACTGCATCAGCAGCTCTGAAGGTAGAGCTTCTAAGCAAGAGCTCCCAGCTGTGTAGTCCCATCTTCTATTAATACTTGTACCACTGCAGTGAGATAGATCCAGGAAGTGAATTGTCCAAAAGGAGGGGTGGGAATAAAAACTTCGAGTGATTCAGCTGGCTGAGATGCTTTTAATTGGTCTAGCTCCTCAATTTGGGTCACCATGTAGATACAAGTACCATGTGGTGTGGCAGAAGCCTGTGAGTGAGAAAAACCATCCCATTTGGCCTAAATCAGCATGAAACACACCACTTGCAAAAATCCAAGGATATGAAACCAGCCCATATGTTTCCATTTACTTACTTCTGACATTTCATGCACCAGCAGGAGGGGAATGCTGATGGTGGTGATGTCGTGTGTGCAGCAGACCTTGAGGATGTTCCTGAGCCCCATGATGGCCGGGTCGCGGGCAGTCACATTCACAGACCTGACGTTGTCATCCACACACAGGTGAAAGGCAACGTGGATTTCTGAGAGGTTTGAGTGCCGTGTGATGTAGAACTCTCCTGCACAATAAGGCAAACCAGGAAGGCAAGAAATCATGGTAGTGATCTGTACTGAAATCCAATTGTTTGGAAGTGTAAGAAAGATAAAAGGCAAATAGAAATATACAGCAGAGATGAGGACGTACACAGGAGATCTAAAATCTCTTGGACTGTCACTGTTTTACATCCATCCCACACCTCTCTCCCTTGCTTTGATGGGTTCCACTGGCATCATGGCCACATGGTGTAATAAACCATAACAGTGCCAGTACAGGATATGATCTCTATATAGCACAAAACAGAAAAACAAACCCAGAGGAGGTGCAATACTCAAAATACACAATGCAAGCACAGAATTGGAGACAGATGTGGGAGGCGGAAAGGTCAAAAAAGGATGCAGAGCCTGTGGAAAAAGATAGTGGGTTATGTAACAACTGAGATATGGCACTGGAACACAAAGGGATCAGTGACAATTAGAATTTAAAATAATTCAGAGTAGTGGGAAGGCGAGTTACAGAGTTGTTTGAAAAAAGGAACCAAGACATCTTGTTGGGGGTATTTTCAGACTTAATATTCATTTATCAAAGGTGAGAGGCAGTGAAATCCAGGTCTCTCCATTGTTCCTTTGCACTGAAGATCTAAAGTCTACAGTACAGTCAAGGAAAAGCAGGTGTGCAATGCCCCCGCTGTTTCAGTCAACAAATGAACATCTTCCTTCAAACCTATTCCCACTGGCCACTGAGGTGAAGATTCTGTCTTTGAACTGGAACAGCTGCAGAATGGGTCTGTACGCCTTCTGGATGATTCCTAAGGAGGCAGGAATACCCAGCAGTGGCCACCTACAAGTAGTAACACAGGCCACTACTACAAGACAACTGGATTTATCTGGTCCAAGTTGATTTATAATCCACTCATACTAAAAATATTTAAGACAGTCATGAAATCAATTTTAATAAGACCTCACTCAACCATGGGTTGTATGGACTTAACTCCTCCCCCCTCCAAAGGCATATTCATCTTCAAATTCAACAGCAGCTTTCCTTACTAAACATCACAATATACACAGAAGATACTTTCCCTGAGAGAGGATTTCTGAAAGTTAAAAAATCCACTCAAAATTGCTTTTCTGTACCATGGCAGTGATATACATATAGCCATTCTCAAAAACAAAATTAGCTGCTAGTATTGAAGTTTCACCTTTCCCCCAAGATGCTCAGAGTTCTTTTTTCCACCCTCAAATTCCAAAAGGAAATTTTAGGCAAAGAGAAGTGATTTGCCCCACACCATGTGATGCAGTGGCAAAGCTGGGAATAGAAACCAGATGTCCTGACACCCAGTTCTCTACCTCAGCCACAGGAACATCCTTCTCCTCTGATTGAGGTCAGCTTGGGTTCAGTTTATAATTTATGTTCTGACTTTAGAGCTAAAAATATGGACGTATAAAACACAATTTGCTTCAGGAAGAGGGGGTCAATGCCACACAACTCACCCGGTAAAATGTTCGACTGGTTTCGTTCAATATTCTTTAATTTATCTTCATTCCCACCAATTCTGTTTTCTGTATATGAACACACGGAACAAATATTAATCATATCCTCTATTAATTACACTCTGGCATGAAAAGGTTCGTGTACAGATATCTGGCTTGAATTTTGACCATGAAGTTAGCATAAAGTCCCCAAAATGCAAGGGGGATGGGTAGAAGAATTTTTGCTGTCTTCAATATACCCCAAACTGAATCCAACCACAAATCCCTGCCCGTCTTACTTACCATCCCATGATATTTCTTCATTTGGACAAAAGCAAACAATATTCTCAGACATAACATGAAACTTCGGAAGTTGCCCCCACAACCACATAGTATCTTGCTATTACTTTCAATAACGTAATAAATTCAAACAAATTTGTTCCTAAGAGATTGACATAAATCAGCAGCATAAAACCAGCTTTCACCATTTCCCTTGAGATGGAGCAATACACAGGTTCTCAAGGGAAGTTTTTTTGTATACCCATATTTGTTCACATTCCTGATGCATTTAAATCACGTAAGTAGCTCTTTGGAGGGAAAACAAAAGTTACATGATGTACAACTGCACTGCCTAATGCACTGACACCATGTGGTCAGAGCATTTCCCAGCCATTTGCAAACACAAATATAAGGAAAACCATTCCCAAAGCTTTGGTCAGTGCAAGAAAGCTAAATACACATTTAGTCAATTTATTTGGTTTTCAGCATTCACTTTAAAGGAAGGGGGAAAAAGTAGTAAACTCCTTTTTCTGCAATTTTTGAAGATTTAAATGTAAATGGCAATAAAAAGGTAAAGACAGATAAAGTTTGTGCTGCTACAGGCAGCTAAGGAAAGCAGAATGGCCTGATATACTTCCCATGCTGTTAAAATGCGAGTTTTATATGTTGATTCATTTTAAAGGAGCAGCAAAGACACCACCCGAACATCACATTCTCTGTGAATTTCACACAGTTTCTTGATGAACCCAAACATTCCATTTTACACATTAAATAACTGCAAAAAAGTGGCATCAATTCTGCCCTGCCCACAAACATCCCACTGACCACTGTTCTATTTCAAGGAGGGTAATTTTGGCTGTCACTGACCGTGGTGTCTTTTTGTCTTGCTGCTACGCTGTGCTCTGGCCTTAAGCACAACTTTCTGGACAATTTCAAGTTGTTCTTGGATTCCAAGAAAATGGAAATCTGTGCATTCTTGGCAAACAGTTGCAAAATCTAGGAAAAAAAAGATTGAAATGCATGTCCTGAGGTTGTGCTCAGTAACCTTATGTAATTCTACTCTACTGATCAAGTAAATCCAGCTATAAAGGCAAACTCTCCAAAAGCAGATAAAGCCCTACTGGACTCCTCTTCCAAAATTTATTGAGGATTATATTTGACAGATTGTGACATGGTTCCATACTTTCCCCTCTACTGTGGCTGCAGGATCTAGCTAGTGGCTACAAGATGCAATTTTGTGTTTAATGGCATTATTTAAATTTCTGTTTTCTCTCATTGCCTAAAATTTAGCATAAAACCAGATACTCTCCTTTTGTTATTCATTTAAATATTTAAACAGTTAAAGAAAGTACCTGCAAAATAAGTACAAGATAATACTGTTACAGTTAAACTACTGGGAAACCATCAACAGCAATCAACAAATGCAACTGCAGTTTTTCCTGGTACACTTCCCTCTCCTTCTTGCTACAAGCCTGATTCCAACTTTCCAGGAAATATCAAGCACTACTGTGCATTTTTTTTAGGTCTGCAAGAACAATGGCAAGTGATAGTCAAAAAAAGACATTCCAAGCGTATTTGTCACAGCATATGCCACAGCTGAGTCAGCTGTGATACACAGAGTACCACCATACAATTTGCAAAAGCTGTAAGCATCAGCCCATACACAGTAACACCAGATAACTTCAGAAGGTTTCAAGTGTCCACCCCTCTTGTTCTATAGCCCAACCTTTTATACCCCTCACGGTTCATGCATTGCACCTGTGTGCCCTCTGTACCCTTTGGTGGTTGGTCAGTGCACCTGTGCACTCCATGTCTCATTACCTTCAATACTGGTCAGCTGTCCTGCACAGCTGTAGCCCACTGGGGATGAGGCTCCACAGCCCCACTCCCAATTACCACAAACTGTGGTGTTAAACTTCAAGACACAAGTGGGAGAGTCAACCAGGAATAAACAGAAGTTTATTTGGTTAACCTTGATAGAAAACACCATAATAGTGCCCACTTACTCAAAAGACACGCACTTCAAATTGCTATTAATCAAACTTTCCAGGAGCAGGGAAGTCATATTCCTATTGTTCATTTTTAATGGCATTCACAGTATCAAAACAACATGGTATTTTTATATATTTACCTATCACTTTAAAATCTAGGCATATTTCTTTTTCATTTTTGCAAATAGGTTTCAGTGTGATAATCTGGTATTAAAGATTTAGGAACTCCTACAATAAATTTGTCTAAATCAATATTGAAGGGTCCTCTCCAATATTATTTGTTACCCAGACACAAAATATAGGAAAGAGATGAGAGATAACAGCACAATACTAATCCCCATCCTCATCTCTTTTTGTATTTTTTACCCTTTTGCCATAACATATGCAAAACATGAGTGCCCTCCACTGAATTTTAATTTTACAAATAGTATTTTTCTGTGAGAAACGACAGCCAGATTTTATTCTAATTTATTATTTTATTCATTTTCCCTGACACGATACCTTCCATTAAAAGGCTCACCTCTTTTGATTCCGCTGTATGAGCTGATCCTGTTATCCACCAGTAACACCAGACCACATAGGGAAGTTGAGTAGAGGGACATTGCAGTCTGAAGCCTGTGCAGCTTCACCCCACTGCGGTGACTGCGCTTGTGTTTGCAGAAATCCAACATATCAGCTCTCAGCAGCCTCAGGTTGTGCATGGTCTTCAGCTGAGCTCCTGCACAGAGCACACATGGCTTAATCCCAGTGGAAGGCTAACTTAGTGCAATATGCCAAACTCAGATTGAAATGCAAGGGCACAAAGTGCTTCCCTAAAAATCTGGAAGGGAGCTGTAACCAGTAACACCCTGAGGAAGCTGTCAGCCACACATTCAGTTTTACAGACACATCAACAATTCACAAAGTAGCAATAAAAACGCAGTGTTTTCACAAAGTGAGACTTGTCCATGCCCAAAATGAGCCTTATTCTCACTGTAGAATCACAGAATTATTAAGCTTGGAAAAGACTTCCAAAATCAAGTGTAACCTGTGCCCAATTCCCACCTTGTCACCAGCCCAGGGCACGAGTGCTACATCCAGGCATTCCTTGGACACTCCTAGGGATGGGGACTCCAAACCTCCCTCGGCAGACCCTTCCAACCCTTTCTGTGAAGCAGTTCTTCCTGAGGAATACTGCAGGGCTAGGGATGAAATACTGATGTGTGGTGGTGTATCCTTCCCCACCCTCCCCAGAACCATGCCACAAGCTCAAACTCCTGCTAGGTCTTAGCATTTGTGCAATGAGCTGGGTGCTGAGGCATCCCCTGGCCATCCCAGGAACTCCTGCATGGCTGAAATGGGAGCTGCATGGAGGGGATCATCAGTCAGCCCCTGACAGCCTGGAAACACCCCCTACCTGATCCATGGCCCAAGGGCAACAGCACCATTGCTGTTGGATTTTTGGAAACTCCAGCAATTCAACCTGAGGATGAACATTTTCCAAATGACTCAAGGCAATCATCTTATGACCCTATGGACAGTGGTCCTAAGGGGATATCCTTGGAGCTTGCTTGCAGCACAGGAGGCTGCACCAGCATTTCCCTCTGACAGAGATGCTCTCAGAGCTTGCAAGTTCCCAAGTTTGTGATACTGGGAGGATTGTTGCTGCCCATCTCTGCCTAAATAATTTTAGATTTTGTTATAATCCAATTTTCCTCTCTGTGTTTTATCTATATAGTAATAGAGTGAACCTTGCCTTTGAACTTTTCCACTATTTTGCAAATTTGTATCAAACCTCCTCTAGCTGATGCCTTTGCTGATGATTTTTTAAGTGACCTAAACCACTCCTGCACAACATAACATGGTGAAAACAGCTCAAGAAGACTCTACTACACAAACAAAAATACAAATTCCAAGTATCTATTCTGCTGTATACTGATCACAGGAAGTGAATTTTGTAAGCACATTTTTCCACCAAATGTAAGAAAAGTCGAAGCATCATTTTTAGGCAAAATGCTTTGCTGTTGTTGTGCTTTTTCACATCAGTCACCCAACCAAAATGGATTAAAAGTTGCTTCTAGAATATTTTCCATTAAGATTTCCACCTATTTCAGACATTGCTTCATACAGTTTATGCTGTTCTCTTACACATGTAAAGAAAAAAAACCAAAACAACTCCAAACTATGGATTATAGACACTGAGCGCTAAATAGTGTAAATAATACATGCCTTGGACACATTATTTATTACCAGCTGTTATTTGGTTTACTCCACTTACCTAAATGAATAGTAAAGCTTTCTTCTAACAGCCTTTGCTCTTCATAGATTCTCCCATTTCCTTCCACAGATTCCCTCAGCTGGCTGGGTTGAACTTTAATTTCATCACTAAAATAATAAGAAAATTACCAAAAAGTTAATCCTAATTTTTATTCAAGACCAACAACTTTGGGAAAGCTATCCCAAGTTTTCTCAGCTGGACTGTGGAAACCAGGAGACCAAACCTATGAGCATGAGCTCCACTCAGGAGGTTTCACCTTTGCCTTCCTGGCAGCAGGAGGAGGAGACTTCACTATTAGATTTACATTACTTGCCCCATTTGTAAAACATTCCGAGACTGAGAAATAAAAATAGGTCACAATACCTAGCTATAACATAGTAAGAATGCAGGAATAAAAGGAAAATAAAAAGAATTCTCTTCAACCTATTTACAGCAGCCAAAACCTAATTTATGAAGTTATTAAATAAAGCAGTTCTTTTTTTCTTCCCAGACAAAAGACGAGATTAAAAACCACCTTATCAAATGTTCCACAGTGTTCATACTACCAGGAAACATTTCAGGTATCAGTTTTAATATTTTCCCTAAATTCAACTGTCTGGTAGTGACACAACAAATATTGTTTCTAATACATGAAAGAACAGCATCCAATTTGTTTCTGCATTAGTGAGACATTTCTGTTTTCAAAGTGCCTCACCTCCAAAAATCTCTTATAAGCTTGCAAGCAATTCTACCGATTTCAACTGCCAAGCAGCAATGTACTAGTGATAAAGAATAAGGATCCCACCCAATTTACAAATTCTAAATTCCCTGGCATTTCCTCAGAGAAAAGCTTCTCATTCAACTCTCTCCACAAGTGCTCACACTAAAAAATTCCATTTTTTAGTTGTCCAGTGACAGACATATAGAAAGAAAAAAGAGGCTTGTTAAGTTAAACCATTGTTACCATTTTTTAAAGTACCATTATTCTCCAGAACATGCTTACGTGATAACAGGAAGCTTTGTGAAACAGTGTTAAAAGACAGACATAGGAGAGAAAGGCAAAATAGGAGGAAATTCCACTCATGTCAAGCTGTACTTTAGTTCATTACAACACTTTCTGGTACAGAGAGGTTGTAACATCACACAATGAAGAAACTCATAAAATGATACATATTTCTTTGTGATGGTCTATTCACCTTTGATATGCTTTGATTATCCTGTGCAAATTATTTAGAGATATGATAACATCATAATAAATAGGACTATAGTATCCTATTTAGAAGATTATGCAAACGCAAATCCTTTGAACTATTTCAGCTGAAATTAAGCATCACAGAGGAATTAAATACCTGACTGAGCTGTTGTTAGGATTCTTTAGGTCCTGATGAAGCTTTATCACCCACTCCTGATATTCCTGCTTCTGGATAGCAGTAGTCTGCTTTAATTCATTGGTCCATTTGTTCTCCAAATCCTGACAGAAGAGCAGTGATAATTTGAGTGGTGTGGGTGTTCTTTTTAAGGTGATGATGTGCAGGACACATTTTAGTTACCTGCTGAGACTCAAAATGCTGAGCTGCTAAGGAATTCACATCCTGGTCAGTCAGTGACTTCCCAAGCTCCTGCATCACCTTATCCATTTCAGCTCCTTGCCTGAAAGAGAAGCAAACACAGATTTCAGAAGACTGGCAGCAGAACACCCTTTACTGTGACACAACAACAGATTTGGTTGTTTGTTACTGACAGAATGAACAGTCACAGATTTAGCAATGAAAATCCACAACACAAACTGGCATTAAGGGTCAGGGACACAAGTCAGCTCCTGTGTAAACGGAACACCACCTACCCTCATTTGGGACAGTCTCAGCTGCCACCAACATAGGGATGTGATAAATTCCAGCAGAGTCAATACACAGCTACATTACACCTGAGCTCTATCAATAATACTGCTCTTTCTTCTGTATGCATACTTGAGAAGAGGCAATAGCAGCAAAAAGATTTGCTAACACCTTACTGGCAACATTGACCCCCAAACTAGAAATATATACAATTTGCTGCAGAAGAAACCATAGCACGAACTGATTATGCACTGTCTAATGTGAGCTTAAACACACACAGCTCAAGAGGAATATTGCTACTCAGAATGCTAAACCAGACCTAGTGAAATTACTCTGGCACGAAAAGAAAAATCCACACTCAACATGTTCCCTCTTGTGGATAAAGGAGCCACCTGCAGCTATGCAAGCTTATGGGAGAACTCTGGGCTCAAACTTAACACAGCATATGCCGCAGTCAGGACAGCCGTGACTGTACCATGATACACAAAGCATCACCACACAACTTCAAAGAAGTTCACCCATACAGAGCAACATCACACCAGAAGGCTGCAAGCATCTTCTCATCTTGCCTTTCAGCCCAACCTTTTATACCCCTCACCTTACATGCACTGCACCTGTGTGTCCCTCTGGTGACTGGTCAGTGCACCTGGGCACTCCATGTCTCATTACCTTCAATATTGTTCATCTGCTTTTCACAGCTGTAGCCCATTGGGGATGAGGCTACACAGCCCCACTCCCCATTTCTACAAACTGTGTGCCTACACAAACTCAACACTTTCTGAAAATCAAAACTCAAATTCTCCTTAGTCACTGAAAATAACAGAAGGCCACCAAAGTAATATAAGGCAGCTGACCCTAATGACATCATAGAATCATGGAATGGTTTGGGCTGGAAAGGACATGAATGTTCATTTCATTCCAACCCCTGCCATCAGCAGGAACACCTTCCACCTGACCCAGGCTGCTCAGAGCCCCATCCAACCTGTCCTTGGACACCTCTAGGGATGAGGCAGCCACAGCTTCTCTGGGCAACCTGTGCCAGGGCCTCACCATACCCTAAGTAAAGAATTTTCTTCCTAATATCCAATCTAAATTTTCACTCTTTCAGTTTGAAGCCATTCCCCCTTGCTCTAAATACTCTTGTGCCAGCCAAGTGTTGTCTGACTTTGGGTTTACACAGACAAATATAAGCTACACACATTGTCCTATGAGTTTACACACCCAGTGGCATGTACCCCTATTTAATAAGAGAAAGGAAAACCTAAATAAAAAAAAGTAATACCTTTCACGTAGCTTTTTCAGTTCCACGTCCCTTTCACTTATTAATTCTGAAATGCTAACAAAATAATTGTGTTCCAGGTTTAACAGCATTTCAGAAGCTGGAGAATGGATCAGATCATGATAAACATCTGCAAAATCTTCATCCCAGCTGGTTTCTTCAGGTTTGGCATGTTCTAATGTTGTCTAAAGAAAATGTAAGAGATTTTAAAGGATAAGATACCTCTTAGGACATATCAAGATCCCTCATAATGGTGGGGTAAAACCATGGGGGCCCACACACAGCCTGTGCCATACATAAATTATCTTCCCTAATTTAAGTTTCCTGCATTCTACTTTAGCTTTCCATTTTCTCCTCTCCCATTCTTTCTCTTTCAAAGCAACTAAAGCCAGAATCATTAAGGCTTGGACTACAGTAAGGAATTACCAATTTTCACACAACACCAGCTCGGAAAGAAGAGCAATATCCACAATAATATTTGCACCTGATGAATTTTAGATAAGGCCCAGAACACCAGCTGTACAAACAGAAATGCTTTGCTAGTGAGGATGACTAACAGCTGATGTCACTAAGAATTCCATCAACAACACTGATTGAAGAAAGGCCATTTTTATTCAACAAAGAACGGCCCAAGAATGCCAGTTTTGCAAACCTTTTATGGAATTTTCCACATTTTTTTCTACATTTCGTGAGAAGAAAATTCAATTCCTATTAACTTTTCTTCAGATGCTGCAGGTTCGTCATTCATTTTTTCTTTTCAGTAGAACTCCTCCAGTTCGTTTGCACTCCACTATTTTTAAGATCCCATGTGAAACTGAAGACATTATTCCAACTAAAGCCTCATCCTTCTTAATTAATATGAAATAGTAATATGAACCCAAACAATGAACTGAAAAGTCTCTCTCAACTATACACTTTCTCCTTCTAACCTTAATTGCTGTTACTGAGATTTAGGATAGGAGTGTCACTTTATTACCTCTTGCTTTAATTCTAAGCTACTATAAACCTTACACCTATGTTTTGTTTGAGTATCAACTGTTGAATGAACAAACCTCCATTTTTTGCCTCTCCATTTTCTATCTTTCTACTTAATTAAATTTAAGAAAAACCTGACTAAGTACTTGTAGGATGAAGACTCGATGCTCACTTTCAGATAGAAAGAAAAAACTGCAAGAATTGCAGTGAATTTTAGTGTAATATTTCATCCTCCCAACTGTGATTGCACATACACACATACTCACAAAACAAGCCTTGAATATTAACTTTCCAGCCTTATTCTTACCTCTTTATATGCTTTAGCCCAAGTATCTGCCAGCTGGTTGATGTCTACTTTTCCTGATTTCACTGCTTCCAGAGCCACTTCAGCTTCTCTGTCATAATCTTTTATGGTTTCCTCTTCTACAAATTTACTAAGAGATTGCTTCAGGTCTATTTTGTAACAAGAAGAAAATGGTCCATCAACAGAACACATCAACAATCACCCACGAAACCTGTAAGTAAAGTTTTTCATCTGAAAACCTTTTCCTTGCTAGCACTGATAGTAATTTTCTCTGATGTTTTGCTGTTTAAAAAACCAATTTTGTAAACACTGTTCCAGTAAAACACTGTTCTTTTGGTTTCTTAGAGCAAGCTGTAAGATACTTGTGGACAAGGATATGTGAGATTAATTTAAGAAATCAGTTCATACCATTTTCTATAAAGCATGGCAGGTTGTGCAGAACCATCAGACGTCCATGCAAATGACTGATATTCTCTTGCACAGGGAATTTGAGAGGCACGGTAATCACCAAATGTTCATTTCCAGCACTGAATTTGTACACATAGTCTCTCTCTCTAGTTAAAGTCTTTCCTTTATCAGGCTTCATCCTCTTGAGTTTGTTTCCTGCAACAGAAATGAAAGTAACAAGAATTACATTTTTGTAAATTCAGAAGTAAAAAATGGTAATGAAAAGCCATGGCTTTGCTAATAATTAACAGCCAAAAATACGTAACCCCCCAAATTTTCATAGATACTCAGTTTTGACTTCCAATACATGCATCTGGAACTGAAGCATAAATACCAGTTTCCGAAATATTGAATGCTTCTAAAATGTATTTGAGTGGGTCAATATATAAATGTGGGTAATTGCTCTTAAAAATTACAGCATAAATCTCCTGACTTAAAAGCAGAAGCAGCCAGATGGGAATCCTGATAAATAGAAAATTAACCGAAACACTCTGACTTCTGGTCATGGATGCCTCAAAAGCTGAAATCCTGCAGAGTGCACACAGATTTTATTTCCTCCTTTCTGCAGGTGCAAGGCCTGGGGAGTGGGGGAGCAGATGTTTGCAACGATTTTTAGAAAGAGCTGATTCTGTCTTTCTGTAACCTGCATTAAAAATAAGCCAAAAGAGATGCAAGGGGTAGAGTGAAAATACAGGCTGGGACAACCGTGCTGGTATTTTTACCCTCCAAAAGGCTCCTCTGCTCATTCACATCCCCCTGTTTTGAACACCACCTACAAAGCTGGACACATTGATTCAGCCGAACCCGCCCCAGTGCTAAAAGCCACACCCCGAGGGAAACACGGGTTTAGGGTTTGGTGGGGTTTTTTTGTTGGTTTTTTTTTTTTTTGGTTTTTTTTTTTTTTTTTTTTGGGTTTTTTTTTTGGGGGGGGGGGTGTGGATTTTTCTGTGAACAAACATATGTGTTAGACACAGACGAAACAAGTCAGTTTTAAAAACATCTCAGGACAACCAACGCGAGGCGGTGTCACGGCCTCTCTGGGAGTGGGATTCAAAGGGAAATACGGGGAAACACAAACCCGACCACGCTCTTTCTGCTGCTCCCCGATGCAGCGAGGAGGTGGGGAGGAAGCTGATACAGAGGGAGCGGGGGACAAACCCCCTGTTCCAAAGAGGACCTGAAATCGCAGGCTCAAAGCCGACAGAACATGGCCTGTGGGAGTCCATCCGCCCCCTCCCCCCCAGCCGCGGGGAGCTCCCGGTGTTCGCATGCCCTCCGCTGGAAGCGGCAGCGCCCGCGGGCACCGGGAGCCTCCCGGCCGTGCCAGCCCGTCCCGTCCCGGCTCACCTGGCTCCGGGCGGGCAGCCGCGGGTTAACCGAGTCTCGGGAAAGGGGGAGCCGGGATGTTCCGCCTACCCGCTCTCATCATCGCAGCTGCGCATTCGCAGCGGCACTTTCGGCGCTGCGCCTGTAGCGAAGGCGCCAAGCGGCGCCGGCGGCGGTGGGGATGGCGCGGCCGGTCAGGAGGTGCGTATGCCGGGGCTGAGGGACGAGGGACTCGCCCGATCTCCTCGGGGGGATTCCAGGGTGGCCCCTATCCCTTCCAGCGGAGCGGTCGTGATCAGTGCCGCAGGGCCGTGCTGGAGGCCTGGCATTAGTGGTGTCCTGCAGGGTTCTGTCGTAGAATGGTTTGCGTTGGAAGGAACCTTAAAAACCATCCGGTTCCAACGCCCTGCCATGGGCAGGGACAGCCTCCACTATCTAGGTTGCTCCGAGCCTCATCCAGCTTGGCCTTGGACACTTCCAAGGATGGGGCAGCCACAGCTTCTCTGGGCAACCTGTGCCAGGGCCTCTCACCAGCCCTCACAGGAACAATTTATTCCATATACCCAATCTAAATCTCTCTCTGTCAGTGTGAAGCCTTTGCCCCTTGTCCTGTCATTCCAGGCCCTTGCCAAGAATCTCCCTCCATCTTTCCTGTGGGTTCCCTTCAGGCACTGCAAGGCCACAACGAGGTCACCCCAAAGCCTTCTCTTCTCCAGGCAGAGCACTCCCAATTCCTTCAACCTTTCTTCCCAGCAGAGCTGCTCCATCCCTCTGATCCCCTTGGTGTCCCTGCTCTGGCCTGGCTCCAGCAGCTCTCTGTCCTTCCTGTGCTGGCCTCGGGGCTGGATGCAGCCCTGCAGGTGGGGTAATACTGGGCTCAGTATTGTTTAAATTGCTCATCCATGATTTGGAAAAAGGGTTTGATGTCCCCTCAGCAGTTCAAGATGACAGAAAGCTGGGAGGAGTGGCTGATACCCCAGAGTGCTGTGTAGCCCTTCAGAGGGACTGGAAAGGTTGCAGAGATGGGCAGAGAAGTGTCTAAAATTCAACAAAGGCAAGTGCAATATTCTGCACAAGGAATAGCCCCACACATCACCACAGGTTGGGGGTTACCTGCTGGCCAGCAGCTCTGCTGAGAAGGACCTGGGGGTCCTGGTGGACAACATGTCCATGAGCCAGCAGTGCCCTGGGGGACAAGAAGGCAAATGGTGTCCCGGGGTGCACTGGGAAGAGCATTGCCAGCAGGTCAGGGAGTGATCCTGCCCCTCTGCCCAGCCTTGGAAGGCACATCTGCAGTGCTGTGTCCAGTCCTGGGCTCCTCAGCACAGGAGGGACAGGGAGCTCCTGGACTGGGGCCAGTGGAGGATGCAGAGATGATTTACGGCCTGGAGCATCTCTGGCAGGGAAAGGCTGAGGGAGCTGGAGCTGTCCAGCCTCGTCCCTGTGTGCAGGGAGGGGTCTCAGCAGGGCCCAGGCTCTGGGTGGCCCAGAAATGGCATTAGAGGAACGGGCAGGGACTGATCCCAGGAGGTTCCACCAGGGCAAGAGGCAGAACTTCTGTCCTGGGCACTGACCGAGGACTGAACAGATTGTCCAGAGAAGGTGTGGAGTCTTTTTAAAAAATCTACAAGTTATTCCTTGTTGAGATCGGCAGGAGAAATGCGACACGCAATATGAGTGATCAGCAAGTCTCAAAAGTTTATTGAATAGGTATACATATTTATATTAGTGTTAATAGGGCTAACGCATATTGCAAAAAGCGAGCTCATTATTGGTTAGTTGCTTATCAGCTAACTATGCCTACTTCTACATTCTTGTGGTTCCTCTGTTGTGGCTTTTCTTATCCTTTCTTCACTTTTCTAGCTAACGAACTTCTCCCCCATGCAGCTGTTGCAGCAGGGTCATAGTGACCTTTGTCAGCTAGCCAACTGTCCACAAAATCCTCTACAATTCCTAATAAGCCATTGTGTACAGTTGCACTGGTTGTAGATTTAGCTCTGCTGTCTGTGTCCCAGGGACTCAAGGAACAGCTGGAGCTTTGTCGGGGGACAGTTAGGGTGGATATCAGGAAAAGGTTCTTTGCCCAGAGGGTGGTGGAGCACTGGAACAGGGGATGGTCACGGCCCCAAAGCTGCCAGAGCTCCAGGAGTGTTGGGACAGTGCTCTTAAGGATGAACTGTTGGGTGTAGGGTAGAACTGTTGGGGTGTCCTGAGCAGGGCCAGGAGCTGGACTGGATAATCCTTGTGAATCCCTTCCAACTCATGGATAATCCATGATTCTGAGATTCTGTCCACCTGAACATGTATTGCTATTTTTTCCCTTGTAAAATATGATCTTCCCAAAAGTGTTACCAAATCAAGATGCTCAGTCAGAAAGGATCTGCCTCCCTTTCTGCCTCAACCAGTGCTGGAGAGCATTTTTTTTTTTTTTTTTGCCACAGGAACAAGAAAGTTGTTGATTATTCTGAGTTTGGGGATTTGGAAGATGATGGTAAGTGGGGTGTTCTTGTACATCAAGAATTTGAAATCATTGCCTCTCACATAAAAGTACTTGTAAAAGAGGGTCTGTTGAATTTTCATTTTAAATACGTTTAAGGATAGCGCAGTTATAGTTGTTGTGTTCTTTTAAAATAGGATTAGTTTCCAGAAAATATTATCTTGATATATTTTCAGAGTGCAATGAAAATTATGAAATTTTAGGAATATAGGAAAACTCAAGAGAGCTTGTTGCTGTTTTCTAACAGATGAAGACTTTGCACCTTCAAGCAAAAAATCCAGAACACAGCTCAAGGAATCAAAGAAGGAGAAAAAAGAGAAGTCAAAAAAGCCCAAAGAAGTGACTCCATCACAGACACAGACACTTAGTAAGAGGTAAGAAATGTTCTGGTCAACTCTGTTCCCTAGCCCAAGTATTAATAAGA